GGGCAGAGGACAACACAGCCGACCAGGGCAGAGAACAACACAGCCGACCAGGGCAGAGAACAACACAGCCGACCAGGGCAGAGGACAACACAGCCGACCAGGTCAGAGAACAACACAGCCGGCCAGGGCAGACAACGACTTAACCGAACAGGGAAGAGGAAGACACAGCTATCAAGGGGAGAGGACAACACAGCCGACCAGGGAAGAGGACGACCCAACCGACCAGGGAAGAGGACAACACAGGCGTCCAGGGCAGAGGACAACACAGCCGACCAGGGCAGAGGACAACATAGCCGACCTGGGCAGAGGACAACATAGCCGACCAGGGCAGAGGACAACATAGCCGACCAGGGCAGAGGACAACATAGCCGACCAGAGCAGAGGACAACACATCCGACCAGGGAAGAGGATGACCCAACCGACCAGGGCAGAGGACAACACAGCCGACCAGGGCAGAGAACAACATAGCCGACCAGGGCAGAGAACAACATAGCCGACCAGGGCAGAGAACAGCATAGCCGACCAGGGCAGAGGACAACATAGCCGACCAGGTCAGAGGACAACACAGCCGACCAGGGCAGAGGACAACACAGCCGACCAGGGCAGAGGACAACACAGCCGACCAGGTCAGAGGACAACACAGCCGACCAGGGCAGAGGACAACACAGCCGACCAGGTCAGAGGACAACACAGCCGACCAGGGCAGAGGATAACACAGCCGACCAGGGCAGAGGATAACACAGCCGACCAGGGCAGAGGATAACACAGCCGACCAGGGCAGAGGACAGCACAGCCGGCCAGGGCAGAGGATAACAACACAGCCGGCCAGGGCAGAGGATAACAACACAGCCGACCAGGGCAGAGCACAACACAGCCGGCCAGGGCAGAGGATAACAACACAGCCGACCAGGGCAGAGCACAACACAGCCGACCAGGGCAGAGGACAACACAGCCGGCCAGGGCAGAGAACAACACAGCCGGCCAGGGCAGAGGACAACACAGCCGACCAGGGCAGAGAACAACACAGCCGACCAGGGCAGAGAACAACACAGCCGACCAGGGCAGAGGACAACACAGCCGACCAGGTCAGAGAACAACACAGCCGGCCAGGGCAGACAACGACTTAACCGAACAGGGAAGAGGAAGACACAGCTATCAAGGGGAGAGGACAACACAGCCGACCAGGGAAGAGGACGACCCAACCGACCAGGGAAGAGGACAACACAGGCGTCCAGGGCAGAGGACAACACAGCCGACCAGGGCAGAGGACAACATAGCCGACCTGGGCAGAGGACAACATAGCCGACCAGGGCAGAGGACAACATAGCCGACCAGGGCAGAGGACAACATAGCCGACCAGAGCAGAGGACAACACATCCGACCAGGGAAGAGGATGACCCAACCGACCAGGGCAGAGGACAACACAGCCGACCAGGGCAGAGAACAACATAGCCGACCAGGGCAGAGAACAACATAGCCGACCAGGGCAGAGAACAGCATAGCCGACCAGGGCAGAGGACAACATAGCCGACCAGGTCAGAGGACAACACAGCCGACCAGGGCAGAGGACAACACAGCCGACCAGGGCAGAGGACAACACAGCCGACCAGGTCAGAGGACAACACAGCCGACCAGGGCAGAGGACAACACAGCCGACCAGGTCAGAGGACAACACAGCCGACCAGGGCAGAGGACATCACAGCCGACCAGGTCAGAGAACGACACAACCGACCAGGGCAGAGGACAACACAGGCGACCAGGGCAGAGGACAACACAGGCGACCAGGGCAGAGGACGACCCAACCGACCAGGGCAGAGGACAACACAGGCGACCAGGGCAGACAACAACTCAACCGAACAGGGAAGAGGAAGACACAGCTATCAAGGCGAGAGGTCAACACAGCCGACCAGGGAAGAGGACGACCCAACCGACCAGGGCAGAGGACAACACAGCCGACCAGGGCAGATGAAACATAGCCGACCAGGGCAGAGGACAACACAGCCGACCAGGGCAGAGGACAACACAGCCGACCAGGGCAGAGGACAACACAGCCGACCAGGGCAGAGGACATCACAGCCGACCAGGGCAGAGGACAACACAGCCGACCAGGGCAGAGGACAATACAGCCGACCAGGGCAGAGGACATCACAGCCGACCAGGGCAGAGGACATCACAGCCGACCAGGGCAGAGGACATCACAGCCGACCAGGGCAGAGGACATCACAGCCGACCAGGGCAGAGGACATCACAGCCGACCAGGGCAGAGGACATCACAGCCGACCAGGGCAGACGACATCACAGCCGACCAGGGCAGAGAACATCACAGCCGACCAGGGCAGACGACATCACAGCCGACCAGGGCAGAGAACATCACAGCCGACCAGGGCAGAGGACAACACAGCCGACCAGGGCAGAGGACATCACAGCCGACCAGGGCAGAGGACATCACAGCCGACCAGGGCAGAGGACATCACAGCCGACCAGGGCAGACGACATCACAGCCGACCAGGGCAGAGAACATCACAGCCGACCAGGGCAGAGGACAACACAGCCGACCAGGGCAGAGGACATCACAGCCGACCAGGGCAGAGGACATCACAGCCGACCAGGGCAGAGGACATCACAGCCGACCAGGGCAGAGGACATCACAGCCGACCAGGGCAGAGGACATCACAGCCGACCAGGGCAGAGGACATCACAGCCGACCAGGGCAGAGGACATCACAGCCGACCAGGGCAGAGGACATCACAGCCGACCAGGGCAGACGACATCACAGCCGACCAGGGCAGAGAACATCACAGCCGACCAGGGCAGACGACATCACAGCCGACCAGGGCAGAGAACATCACAGCCGACCAGGGCAGAGGACAACACAGCCGACCAGGGCAGAGGACATCACAGCCGACCAGGGCAGAGGACATCACAGCCGACCAGGGCAGAGGACATCACAGCCGACCAGGGCAGACGACATCACAGCCGACCAGGGCAGAGAACATCACAGCCGACCAGGGCAGAGGACAACACAGCCGACCAGGGCAGAGGACAACACAGCCGACCAGGGCAGAGGACAACACAGCCGACCAGGGCAGAGGACAACAAAGTTATCCGGGCCAGAGGACAACACAGCCGACCAGGGCAGAGAACAACACAGCCGACCAGGGCAGAGGACAACACAGCCGACCAGGGCAGAGGACAACACAGCCGACCAGGGCAGAGGACAACAAAGTTATCCGGGCCAGAGGACAACACAGCCGACCAGGGCAGAGAACAACACAGCCGACCAGGGCAGAGGACAACACAGCCGACCAGGGCAGAGGACAACAAAGTTATCCGGGCCAGAGGACAACACAGCCGGCCAAGGCAGAAGACAACACAGCTGGCCAGGGCAGAGGACAACATGGTACATACAAAATGTTAGTGGATAACGCAAAATTGTCGGGGAAGTTACATAATCTTAATCTCTAGTTTCCAATCCATCTCACTCTCATCCATGCTCCCCCATTTCGTTGAATCCTTAGAATGGGAGCTGCTCCTTTCCAGCACTTCCAAAAGGTGAAGGGAACTATGAGGAGAAAACGCCAAGCAATTACCACTATATAGCATTTGGAAGTGGTTAGAATACGGATTTTGGATTGGACGGGGAATGAAGAAATGTTGCCCAATCTCTTGGCCAGTCGGGGATTGAACGTCGACCTGCATGAAGCGAAACCGTCGCTCAAATGCCAAGCCCAAGTGGTCCAGAAAGTGAAGTACCATCTTAGGAAACAACTGTTGTGTCGTTAGGACTGATGGCGTCTTGCGTGAGGTCTTCTTCCTCATCCCAACATGCGCGTACACGACTCCTAGTCTACAGTAAACCCGTAAAAGGAAATTCACAAATATTTTTAACCAAATATTTCTAATGGCAGTAAAAAAGTTAATGCTGTTGGTTACTCACGCACCACAGGTGAGTGTGGGATCAACAGCAGTCAAATGAGTACAGTATTACACAGTGCCAAATGGAACCTTGTGAACCATCTAACCATTCTTGACCACCTTGTGAACTATCTAGCATGATCCTTGAAAACGTTTCAGGAAAAAAATAATAATTATTTTTCTAACTATTGTCATGATTTGACCTACAGCCTAGCATACGGTTCTTGCTTCATTGAGAGTTGTTCTCTCACTTGGTATTGATCTTTTGACTCGTTTATTTTTCTTGTCACTATTAACCTAGACGAGCAAAGGCGAGGTCAATGTGAATGATATTTTGATCAAGGAGATTTCTATTTTGTCATAAGATTAGTAGAAGCCAGAAGTCGAAGTTATTTCCCACCGTGCAAACGACGACGTTGAAAGCTTTGAGAAGCATACTACGTGCCACTAACATCATAACGGCACAAGGCATTGCGAGAGAGAGAGAGAGAGTTGGAGGAGAGGATTGGGAGAGAGAGAGAAAGAGCAAGAGGGATGGAAGAAAAAGGAGAGAGCTGGAAGAGAGATGGAAGGACCACGTAACCCTCCAATCGAGACTGCAGCATCCGCCTGGGGACGTGTTCACTGCTTGAGAAGAACACACACCTGCCAAGCATCAGTCCACACTGGGTACACCACCTGGTATATACCACCCCCCTATGTTTTTAACTGTATACTTTATTGTACATGATAGCAAATTGTGTGGCACTAACATATCAAATAATTACCATTTCAAGCAAAATAACAAACGAATCTAATTCATTAATGGATATCACAAACCAACTTCAGAGCTACTGAAAGTCAAACACCACCTAAAACTTCTCCAAGGTTGTACTTTTGCCCAAGATGCAACAGGCATTTTCTCTCTTTAAACGGCAACACTGAGGCACTGCTCCGAGAAACGTTTTGCTCTTTGGTCTTTTGTGGTCCTGCTTAGTTTGTCACCTAATTCTTTCAGGAACTTCAATGCACATTTACCCCAGGCACCAAGGGTTTCTGAGCCAATCGGAACAAACCTGTAGCAAAGTGGCAGACCTGTGTATATCATGGCTTTCTACATTCCCCGAAAGAAGCAATACCACCTCTTTGATTGCACTATCCTGAAGGTAAGTACTGACAAATATGAATGTGAATTTGTAGTCTCACGCCACTCGCTTGCCATCCTTCCAGGAAAACATGGTTAAGGTCTGGATACTTCTGAACGTCGTTGGGACTGTATAGGTGTCGTTCTCTTTGCGCCTGACAGCAGGCTGTGGCAAGGCTCCTCTTGAGGATGATGTTCAATTCTTCGTGTTTTGCAATCTCGCCCAGTGCATTACGACATATTAGATCATGTTAGCCGTTTTGCTCGGTCAACACTTCTGCAGCTGCACCTGTGTCTGGTGAGGATGGGAACGACAAGGCGAAGGGCTACACAAGTTAAAAGGGCACCGTGAAAAATTAAGGTGTTCCAAGGACCGAGTTGGGAACAGCAAATAAAAAAAAAACAGCATGAGGTATATCATCAATAAGAGACGGGCTTCATTCTCAACAGATGCATTTTCGGGTATTGTTGCGACAATCTTTCCATTGTGGGACTAATATAGCGAGTCTGTCTGTGGTCATTTAAGGATGGTGATCGGGGTAAAGGAAGTGCAGTAGTTTCCTACTACCTGACTCCTTCCATGAATTTTGGGTTGTATGCTCCTCCTTAGTCTCTCATGCACTCTGGTAGGATCTTTCCTACTAATTTGCTGGAAGTAGATCTTGAGGATATAAATGCTGGTAGTGCTACTTCAGTTGCTGCTGTGTGTGCCTAGACCCCCAAGTCTGACTAGTAGTGTTACATGGTCCCACTGACTGTCATCTAAGGTTTGGTGTATTGTCTTCCTGAATATTGATTTCAAGAACTCGTCAAATCGGTTTAACAGTGGGCTACCAAATGTGGGTGTGTACCTTGAAAAGTACGTTAGGTAATATATGATAAGGTAAGGCACTTTGTGATAAAATACAAATCCAACACAGAGCCAGCACCTTTCAAGGTCACGACAACACCAATAGAGTTTCAGCATGAGGCAGGACCCTAATTGCAACAATACTTCTACAGCACCAAGCTCTTGCAAGATAACAGCAAAATATGACCAGCACCTAGCAGAGCCCTGACAACATCGAAACAATACCAACACAGCTCTAGCACCAGAAATGAATTAAAAAACCAAGAAAGAACCAGCATCTAGTAGGACCTTCACATCGACAACAAAGCTCAAAAAAGTGCTAGATAACAAATAATGAAACTAAAGCACTGGACTGGTACAGGGAAGGGAATTATCAGGGGAAAGCGCCAAGTCATTACGACTATATCGCACTTGGAAAGAGTCAGGATAAGGATTTGGTTTGGGATGGGGCGTACTGGGTTGACGGCCCTCTTGTGTGGCCGGCGTGGAGCCGGTCGGCCGAGCGGACAGCACACTGGACTTGTGATCCTGTGGTCCCGGGTTCGATCCCGGGCGCCGGTGAGAAACAGTGGGCAGAGTTTCTTTCACCCTATGCCCCTGTAACCTAGCAGTAAAATAGGTACCTGGGTGTTAGTTAGCTGTCACGGGCTGTTTCCTGGGGCTGGAGCACTGGTCGAGGACTGGGCCGCGGGGACACTAAAAAGCCCCGAAATCATCTCAAGATAACCTCAAGATGTGTGTATCCTCGCACCGTATTATAATACGATGCGTAGTGGATGGACTCGCGCAGTGTACGCGACGGAGATAAATAACATCCAGGACACATCACAATAGGTGTGCAAGGGATTCCTCTCCAGTTTGCTACCATGAATGTCTGCTGAGCTGAAGATGAGCAAAACTTTTGTGCTTCCTGACCTGCGGTCAGGCCGGCAGCGCCGTGGTTCTGCAGCTGGGTGACTGTGAGGTGGAAATCGTTACTTGAAAGATGGCAAGAATGGCTATCGCTATGAGGGCGGAAAATGCCGGTTGCAGACAGGTAACAACATAACATAACCATGTCTGAACGAACAGAGAGAGAGTTCTAGTAAAAATGTGCGATACAAGTTAAGGTAAGGTAATTATCAGGAGAAAGCACTAAACCACTGCGACTATACAGCACTTGGAAGGGATATGAGGATGATGATTTAGGAAAGGACTAAGTAAAGGTATTTGACGGGCGGGACTTGAACGGTGACCTGCTAGAAGCAAGGCATTTACATGGAGTGGTGTTGCTTGCCGGCACATTGCCACTGGTGTTGTGTTTTACGTGAGCTCACGCTCAAAGTCCATATCTTAACTCTGACGCCGTGACTGAACCTCAATGACTCGCCTCTCGCTTATTACACATATTTTATCAATTCTTGCGTATTCTAACTCCCTTGGCACATTTTCCTTATGAGCTTCCATCTCGCCTTCCCGCGCTAACTGTCAGAACCCGACGACTTTTGCCATTCCACAACACCCGACCACTCTCGCTCGCCCGCTCCACGACGCCCCGACCACTCTCGCCCGCCCGCTCCACGACGCCCCGACCACTCTCGCCCGCCCGCTCCACGACGCCCCGACCTCTCGCCCGCCCGCTCCACGACGCCCCGACCTCTCGCCCGCCCGCTCCACGACGCCCCGACCACTCTCGCCCGCCCGCCCGCCCGCTCCACGACGCCCCGACCACTCTCGCCCGCCCGCCCGCCCGCTCCACGACGCCGCGACCACTCTCGCCCGCCCGCTCCACGACACCCCGACCACTCTCGCCCACTCTCGCCCGCCCCGCTCCACGATGCCCCGACCACTCTCGCCCGCCCGCTCCGCGACGCCCCGACCAATCTCGCCCGGCCACTCCACGAATCCAGGACCACTCTCGCCCACCCGCTACACGACACCCCGACCACTCTTGTCCACCCGCTCCACGACGCCCCGACCACGCTCTCCCGCCCGTTACACGACGCCCCGACAACTCTCGCCCGCCCGCTCCACGACGCCCTAACCACTCTCGCCCGCCCGCTCCACGACACCCTGACCACCCTTCGCTCGTCCACTACACGACGGCCCGACAACTCTCGCCCGCCCGCTCCATGATGCCCCGCCCATTCCCGCAACCACGCTCAGTGTGCCACGTGGAATATTTGTGCGGGAGTAAAAAATATCTGCATGTGTGTGACAGCGTGAGGAATGAGGAATCACAGTACAGGTCTGAGCTATCAGTTCCGAAAAGATGATTTTAGTATTACCCTTGATGTTGTTTTTCGTCAATACATGTCAAATACACTCACCAACATGGTGCTATTGATTTAACTTGCCTTCCCATAAATACCTGTTAGTAAAACTGTTTCTGTACCCTTATCAGTTTTTCAATACTCTTTCTCTCTCTCTCTCTCGTTCTCTCTTAGATTGAAGAAGAGATTGCCTTAGCACAGATACGGGACAGAATAGAGCTTGTTAAATTTTTCAGCTTGTTTGGTCAGTACCACAACTACTGGCTTCCATGAATAGGTTTTCCAGTTTGTTATATCAGGAGCAGTTTTGTTACGTTGTTATGGCCGGAGCTTCACTATACTTATACAAGACTCGATTTATTTACGATATATATATATATATATATATATATATATATATATATATATATATATATATATATATATATATATATATATATATATATATATATATATATATATATATATATATATATATATAATGTCGTACTTAGTAGCGAGAACGCACTTCTCGGCCTGCTATGCAAGGCCCGATTTGCCTAATAGGCCGAGTGATTTTCTTTATTTTCCATAAATTGTTTCCAATTGGTTTATTTGAATTATTATTATTATAGTATAATATGAACATAAATTATTGACTTAGTTATATTAGTTTAGGCTAGGTTAAGATAGGTTAGGTTAGGTAGGGTAGGTTAGGTTCAGTCATATATCTACGTTAGTTTTAACTCAAAATAAATAAAATGAACTCATACATATTTAAATAGATTGATCTATCATTTCATAAGACAAAAATTAGAAAAATACATAAATTCAGGAAAACTTGGCTTATTAGGCAAATTGAGCCTTGCATAGTAGGCCAAATACGATGTTCTGGCTAATAGGTACAACAGTATATATATATATATATATATATATATATATATATATATATATATATATATATATATATATATATATATATATATATATATAATATTACAAACCTAGAAGGAGTACCACCTCTGGTGCAAGTGTTGGGACCCATAGCCTCGGAGAAGAAAATATAGAGTCCTCTGAGAAGACCTTGTGGCTCCTCACTGAACACTAATATTTTCTTCTCCTACCACCGCTAATCTTTTGGTATGTGTGTATATATATTTAGCTTTATTTGAAAATGTCATTACACAAAAAAAGTTACAACATTGGTTACATGCAAGGTAAAAGGCTACTTGTCACAAGTTGTATAGATCCTCCAGCTCCTCAGATTGCGGGCAGGAACCATCGATGCAGTGAGCATTTCCTCTCTGGATCGCCACACTAAGGCGCTGAAAGAGAAAACTGGCAGCTGTAGGGTCTCTAGTTGTTTCAATTAGCTTGGACCCCAACTCCTTCAAAAATCTAGCAGCACTTTTACCCCAGGCACCATGTGTCTCTGAGGCAATGGGGACAAAATTGTAGTGGTGCTCAAGGTCTCTGTATTTACGTGACTTGGCTGCTTCCCGGTGACTGGTGGCACCTCCTGCTTGTGTAGCACTGAAGTCAACATAGGTGTTGGCTAAAGTTGAAACGTAAGTGTAGTCCCACACCAACTGTCTACCATTCTTCCAGGGGTTCACCGTGATTCCGTCTGGGCGACCGACAGGCTCATGAAAGTTGCGGGACATTAGGTAACGGGGCTCTCTCTCTACTGGACAACCGGCTGTGGTAAGGCTTCTCTTAATAATGTCGTTAACCTCGCCGTGTCTTGCATGCTATCCTCTTGTCCTTTGGCAGAGAAGGCCATGCCGTCCGTACTTATCGGCCTCTGCCTCGCTGCAAATATACCTGTATATGGTGTGGATTGGGGCAGCGAGGCGGAGAGCCACAGCAATTCGGAGGGCCTGCGGTGTGAGACGGGTGCCAGTTGCTGACATTGCGGTTGCTAATAGGAAGTCATCTGCATTGGGAGCTGCTAGAGCTCTAAGTCGGGCAGTGTCATGTGGTGTTGTCCCAGCTTATAGCAAAGTCGCAGCTGCTTGGTTGGCAATGGGGCGATCCCAGCTGGATTGCTTATGGGCTTCAGAAGGCGGTGGTTGGGGTGCTGGTCCTGCGAGAGAGACCTATTTGGTTGTGCAGTCTGTGAAGCTGGGATCGTGTACCCCCTGCCTGTTGAACTAGGTGCTCAGGTAGGATTTCCTTCACCAAGTTGTCAGACGCCACTGAAGAGGACAGGAACGCTGGTACAGCAATTTGTGTTGCTATGCGCACGACAAGGCATCCCCCCGAGTCTGACAGGAAGGAAGGCCTGTTTCCACTGAGTCGCTGAGGGAAAGGTTGAGGGCTTTTTGTAGTGTTGATTTCAGCAAGCTGTCGTACTCTTCTAGTTTAATATTGTTGAAAGATGGTGAACATCTTAGAAAGTAGGTCAGCCTGGGGAGGGACAAGCATCTGGTGATGAGGTAAAGTGTATCATGAGCATCGATGCCTTCAATCCTCTTGTTCATCCTCTTCAGGTCAGTGGTCTTCTTTCCAAGGACCTTGTCGATGGCATTCCCTCCAAGAGGAGCACCTAGGAGTGTGCTGTTCTCAGGGTTGGTTATATGAATATCAGACAAAACAACCTTTATTTGCTCTATTATGTGCTGGTTGGTGGAGGTTATTTCGCACTTGGAAGAGTTCAGGGTGAGGCCTAGACTTGCTCCTTGCTCCTGAATTATACTTATGTCGTCCAAGAGTGAGGCTGGGGAGCCGGCTAGAGTACCATCATCCAAAAACCAAATATTGAGCTCACTGGACAGGTTATCAGTGACTTCCTTGATGACTAAGCAAAAAAAGAAAAGGAGCAAGGGGGTCACCCAATTGGACACCTTCTTGTGATTCAATTTCATGTTCCCCAAATAGCAGAATTAGATTCTTGCTGCAGCATGAGTTTACAAATGAGTAGAGGGAGGGAAAAAGGCGATGAACCGCACTGAGTACTGCATCCATTCTAACGAGATTGAAAGCATTTTTGAAGTCCAGTTTTATCAGGGCTTTTTCATCCATAATGTTGGCAATGTAGGCTGTAGCTGCATGAGCCGCTGCTTCACACCATTGAGGAATGCAAAACCCAAGCTGTTTTGGCTTCAGCATGTCGGCTGCTGCCTGACTAACTGTTCTAGTAGCAGCCTTAGCGACGAGGAGCCAGAGTGAATTGCCCACAGCTATCGGTCTGATTCCTCTATCTTTTTTTCCTCAGGGCACAGAGGGTAGCGCCAAGAAAGAGAGGCCGTATAGTCTCTGGCATGTTGCCAGCTAGACATGTGTTAGCGAATCTAGTTAGTTCCACCAGGAGGCCCTGTGCAATGTCTCCCAGTACAGCATTGAGCATTTGTTTGATGTGGTTGGGTCTTAGTCTTGTGAACCCACCTGTTGATCCTTGTGGGAAGGATAAAGCTGCTTTATGCACCACAGATTCGAGCACACACAGGGGTTCTGCTCTGGTGACACTGACTAGGGGAACACTGTCGTCACGAGGAGCTCTGAGTGGGTGTTTTTCCCTCAGGGCTTGTGCTGTATTGGCATCCCTGGTGGCAACTGTCTCTTCACTGGTGATGATTCTGATTGCCCCTATTGTGTTGCCTTCTATTTTCTTGCTGACTGCTGCTCTGATTTTGGATGCCTCGGTTCTTCTGTTGATACCTGGGGAGGTGGGGGGGGGGGGTGTTTTTGGCATGGGTGGGGAGGGGTGCCTGGTTGTCCTCTCTAGGAAAACTATTTATAGCCATAATGACTGAGGAAGCTAGTGATTTCTCTCTCCTTGCAGGGATAGCTAGGCATAAGTTTCCAAACAGGAGAAGATTGCGGCATGCTTGGATGGTTCCGGGGGAGTCATTAACCTTTTTCAAGAGGCTGGATAATTTGGCCTGCTGCCTGGGGCTGGGCAGCTTTAGGGATGTGCTGCAAGGATCCAACCGATGTTGCTTTGATGACTTCCAGCACATTCTCAGTCGAAATGGAGCTGTTGGAGGTGTTTTTCCTGACTGCTGGTGTGGGGCCTTGATTGATACTCAATTTGGGAGGGCGCCACATACCCGGAAAATTGGTTCCGTTGTGAGCATGCTTGCGCACATCTCCGTTACGCTTGAGTTTTCACACCTTGTCACACTCTAGGCACGTGCCGTACCTATCGTCTATTGATGGCTCCTCTTGGCTGAGAGAAGCCTGGCTGTCAGTCGTGACCTGCGACATCGGCGGGCGCTGAGCGGACGTAGCCTGGGGGGGGGGGGGGGGACACAGGGAGGTCGCGGTTGGGTATGGTGGGGAAAATATATATATATATATATATATATATATATATATATATATATATATATATATATATATATATATGCAATAATTATCACAAAAACACTGATCCAAGTATACAGAATAACCACATGTGAAAAAAAGAGAATGCTTAACGCGTTTTTGGCTAATTTGCCTTCATCAGAGCAAAGCAGAGTGAAGATGAGTAGAATGAAGATCATCTTCACATGTGGTTATTCTGCATATATATATCTATATATATAAACTGGATATATATATATATATATATATATATATATATATATATATATATATATATATATATATATATATATATATATATATATACACAAGTAGTGTGGATGACGGCGTACAGAGGAATTTTGTTTCTGGGAGAAAAATTCCTGTTTGTGGAACAGGGTTTTCAGGTGAATTTAGAAATTCTCGTTTGTGAGTCAGGGTTTTTCAGGTAAATTTAGGCAGTCACAGATTTGGAAGTAAGAAATTCTTGTGAGAAAAATAATTT